GACAAACAGCAGTCCCCATTGTGTAAGCAAATACCTTAATCGATCGAGATGATAGAGACGATGGCAACAGTCGATCGAGATGATGGAAACATCAAAAATTAACCCTAAATCGAAGATGATGGCAACAGTATCGATCGAGAGCAACTTTCATAGCCAAATACTTGCTCCATGAACTGGGTGAAGGAGATGATGGTTGCAGAGCTCTGGAGAAATCGACCTGTTGTTCAAAATCGAAGAAGAAACCGAAGAAGACTCGATGGAAGGAGAAGTCGACCTGTTGTTGAAAATCGAAGAAGAAACCGAAGAAGACTCGATGCTCTGGAGAAATCGACTTGTTGATGAAAATCGAAGAAGAAACCGAAGAAGACTCGATGGAAGGGAAGCGTGTCTTGAAGACTCGATGGAAGGGTAGGTGTGTCTTGATATATTTTTGTCAAATTTTTATGATATCGCCAAACATATATTTTATTCAAAAATAAAAACATCATCGCTTTCTCAAAATCACATAAAGTCATATTATAACATTGACTGAGATAAAGAATAAAATAAAATATTAAAAACACGATGTATCTCGCTGCATTGCGCGAGTACTCTTCTAGTAATCATAAACAATTTTATGATGCGTTGGGGTTTAAACAAATAATTAAGCATATTCACAAAATAAACCCCTCAAGTTTTATTCTTTTTTAAAAACAACCCCAAACTTTAATAACCAGATACCCAATTATCACATATATTATTTATATTGTTGTCAAAAAAAATTAAAAATTCAGAGGCCCTTGACGATCGAAGGTCTTCTGCAGCGGAACCACTTGGCACACCCCAAGGAATGGGCCTGAGTTTGGCTAAACAAAACATCCTAAAAATGCCAATATAATTTTAAAATCCCTGATAATATTATGGTTGTCAAACCCTCAAAAGTTTTAGTTGTTAACATCCAAAAGTTTTAGTTGTTAACATCAAGTAAACAAAAAAACATTTAAGGGGTTGTTTACCAAATTTTCTATTAAGTCTTGTATGGATAAATTTGTCTGTCTGGATAAATTTGGCTGTCTGGATAAATTTATGTTGCTGTTTACTTTTCTATCTGAATCTACCGTCTGAATAAC